CCCCAAAACCCCAAAACCCCAAAACCCCTCTAAGATAGATATGTTAAAATAATCAAAATCATAACAAAAACGATATAATATTTTAATAGTATTATTGGATAAATATTATAATGGAAGAAAGCTCAGTTCTGATATATACAATCCTCCTAAGTACAGTGCTATTAATCTATGTGGCTGCAAGTTTATACGTGCTATGGTCTCTGAAATTTAAATTGAGAAGCTACGAATATACTGCTCTCCTACTCTATTTTTTATGTTTCTTGGTTAAATCACTTTCATGGGTGGTTGAATTAGCTAATGCTGACTACAAAGCTTATATTGGAGTATTTATACTAATTGATGTGTCAACTGATTTCCTAATAAACATCAATCTTTATCTGTTTATCTCTGAGATGCTGGACGTCTACTATAAGTTAAGAAGTGAAACTTTCCTAAAATATATGAAATACAAAAAATACGTCTAAATATTTACTTTATTCATGATAACTCTAAGTAGTGCAGATTTTGCAATTGGGATGTATTTCTATTATCGAAGGTACATTTAACTTATAATAGAATCTTCAATTCAAACTTTTTCTTCGATATCATTTATATTGCTAAGGGTCATCTAATTATTGATAGACCTAGTAATGATCCTAGCTTTTGCTGTTACCTCTTGGTATTTCTTATAAGTGAAATTGAAAAATTAAAATGATCAAAAAATCAATTTATCTCGCTTTAACAAATTCATTATTGGCTGGGTCATATTTCTTCTGATATATAATTTAGTATACACAGTTGAAAAATGCATTAGGCCCCCTCATTTTATGCTAGCACATTCGTAGGGTGAGGAGGTCTTAGATAATGTGTATATTGAAAGATTTATAGTTTATACAATGAGCAATCTTTGCACAAGTGTTACCTTACTCTACCTATTTTATCATCAAGGGAAAATTAGACGTGTCAAGATAAGAGCACTTGAGGTTGAAATTGTAGCAGAAATGATGAGCAAAAGTCTAATAAAGTAATAATAAATGACAACAGCTAATTTTGATGAGAAAGCAGATCCTAGAGTTAGTACAAGCAACGATAACCATAGTCAAAATTATTCTAATCGTAACCACACTAATACATCCATCAACTCTTCGAAAAAGAGATCAGAACTGATGTAAAGCCATTCAGATACATCAACTCTAAAGTCATTTATTATGGATTAGATTTAGAACTACCAAAGCAAGTTGTAAAATTATAGAAATTTCAAGGATAGAATATTCCTTTGATTGGGGAACTATTGTATTTTTGGTATAGCTTGGTAAATCCTCAAGCATGTGAGAAATATAACAAATAAAGATCAAATTAATGCTATTGTTCTATATAAGATTAACTTTAGAATAAATTTTATCAACTCATTAACAAATTTGTAATGATGGGGTTTTGGGGTTTTGGGGTTTTGGGG